CGCGATCCTGGAGACCCAGGATCGAATCCCACGTCGGGCTCCGGTGCATGGAGCCTGCTTCTCCCTCTGCCTATGTCTCTGCCTCTCTCTCTCTCTCTTTCTGTGTGACTATCATAAATAAAAAAAAAAAAAAGAAAGGAACTTGCCCAACAGTCATCACTCCCTTGAGGAGACATGAATGAAGCTGACAGTCACCAACTCCCTTCCCGCCACCAAAAGAAAAAAAAAAAAGAAACAAGAGAAGGAATAATATATACACAAGATAAATAAAGAGGGATGGCTGCGTGGCCCAGCAGTTGGGGGTCTGCCTTCAGGCGTGATCCCAGGGTCCCAGCATCAGGCTCCCTGCATGAAGCCTGCTTCTCCCTCTGCCTGTGTCTCTCATGAATAAATAAACTCTTTAAAAAAAGAAAATCATAAATATCTCTACAATTGTGTTAGGAGAGGAAATAATAAAATCAGATGACAGAATGCATATAATCTTACATGCATATAATGTGGAATTTAACAAGGGGGAAAAAAAGCATGTACATTTTATTGAACACTGATTCTTAATTTTTTTTGATTAACTTCTCCTTTAGAGATCTGATGAAAGTTATGAATAATTCTTTCATATACGAAAAAAAAATTCAAAGAAGAAAATAATTTCATGAGTTCCTAGAATACATATCTGAACCCTCAACACCACACCAGCTTAAGAATGGTCTCTGTTGGGGTTCCTGAGTAGCTCAGTCAGTAAGTGTCTTCCCTAGGCTCAGGTCATGATCCTAAGGTCCTGGGGTCGAGTTTCACATCGGGCTCCCTTTCCCACTCCCAACTTGTGTGCGTGCACTTGCTCTCTGTCCAATAAATAAAATCTTTTTTTAAAAAATTGTCCTGGGCAGCCCCGGTAGCTCAGCGGTTTAGCGCCGCCTTCAGCCCAGGGCGTGATCCTGGAGACCTGGAATCGAGTCCCAAGTCAGGCTCCCTGCATGGAGCCTGCTTCTCCCTGTGCCTGCGTCTCTGCTTCTCTATGTGTCTCTCATGAATAAATAAATAAAATCTTAAAAAAAAAAAATTGTCTCTGTAATGACAGAATTTTAAAGGATCAGGTTTATCCTTAAATAATTAAATCAACTAGGGTAGTATTACTTACCCTTGTTTACCTTTGAAGAAACATACAGATCCAAGTCCCCTGTCTCAACCATTCTAACATTCTAATCTTTTAGGACACAGGTTCTAAATCTTTACAAATAGGTCTCTGGACTGTCTTTAAGATCACGTAAGTCCTACCTCAAGGAGATGACGTCTCTGTGAAACCAAGTTCTTAAATTCAGAGCTGAAGGAACCAGACACAAGCCAAGCATCTAGTAGTATTTCCTCTCTAGTCAAGATTCTGCCCAAATCATTCTGGAGTTTGAATGATCAGTGCAATGACTTCCCTTGGGTACAATTCTCTTCAAGTATTACATTTAAAGAGCTGCTTATGTTTATGTACGCTGCTTACCAGACGATTATTTCTCAAGTGATGGATATGGAGGTTAAAAAAAAAATCTTGTCTTAGAGTTACTAATAGCCAGTTTTTTTTTAAATTTTTATTTATTTATGATAGTCAGAGAGAGAGAGAGAGAGAGAGAGAGAGAGAGAGGCAGAGACACAGGCAGAGGGAGAAGCAGGCTCCATGCACCGGGAGCCCGACGTGGGATTCGATCCGGGGTCTCCAGGATCACGCCCTGGGCCAAAGGCAGGCGCCAAACCGCTGTGCCACCCAGGGATCCCTAGCCAAACAGTTCTAATTTAGATTTTAGATCTATTTGTTTTTGACATAAAGTATAACTGAGACTTGAGTTCTGACAGATGCTAGCAATGTCTTAACAAGTTCCATTTGGTGAGCGGTCTTCAAGGCCCTTTCTTGGTGTAAAAAAAAAAACAAAAAACAAAAACAAAACACATAGTTCTATTTATAAACACACACACCCCTTTACAAAACACGAGTTTAATTTTTCCTTCCAAAACCTCACCCTTCACCTGGCTAATAAAATTATCAAACCATTATTACAAATGAAAATGAAGCCCTTGTTTTATATTATACAACCAATGTATTCTAACATGCTCTTAAACCAATTAAAATTAAGTATTACTACCCAGCTATTTTTCTGTAGCCAAAATACCATTACAAGGAAAAAGCTACAATGGCAACAAACTAAAGATTATCTCTTAGGAAAAAAATATATATATATCTCTTAGAATGCCTATCACTACTAAGATCTCTGAAAAGTCACTTTAAAAATAAAATACCTGGTTCCTCCTAGAGGCACTTTCAAATGGGTGAGGAGCCTCGTAGTTGTATGATGTTCAAGAAGCTTTCCAAGTAAGATTTTAAAATTGAACTCACTTTATTTGGTGAAATAACCATCCCCTAAAAATAGATCTGGGGATCCCTGGGTGGCGCAGCGGTTTAGCGCCTGCCTTTGGCCCAGGGCGCGATCCTGGAGACCCGGGATCGAATCCCACGTCGGGCTCCCGGTGCATGGAGCCTGCTTCTCCCTCTGCCTGTGTCTCTGCCTCTCTCTCTGTGACTATCATAAATAAATAAAAATTAAAAAAAATAATAATAATAGATCTGGTTTTCCCCAAGCTGTTCTAACAGAATACAATCTCTAAATGTGGGTCCTGGTTTCTTCAATGTACAAGATAAAACCCATTAAAATGACACAGATACTCTTATTACACAGGCAAAGGTAGGTGTATGGTGAACAAGAACAGATCAGAGAAAAGCCCAAGATAGTTGCCCAGGTACCTGAAAGTTTTTACCTCCATGGCACATATTAAGTTAAAATATTCCAACACAGCACTTCATTCTACATAACAGAGTCTATGAAAGGAAGGGACAGCCTCTTACAGATATCACATTTCATTCTGCCCCTTAAGAGAGCTTCCCACAGCACTTAGAATAAAACTCAAACTCTTAAAAATGACCTTCCAACAGGAAAATGGCACAAGACCTTCCCCTCAACCTCCTTACCAACTAGATCTACACTCAACCAGAATTCCCAAGCTCCAGCCACAAAATATTTGCACAAGTCTCTCTACTCTGAAAAGGATTCCCTCTTCGTGTGACTGGCTCCTCCTTTATGCCTTAAGCTTCAAGTATCACTTCTTTAGAAAGAGATTCCTAGAGCAACTTCTCTGTTAAAACAATCTGCCTTTTTACTTCTCAGCCCCTATCATAACTTAAATTATGTGTTTTATGACTATAATATTTATCCTCATAAATTCCATGGGACCAGAGACCACATCTACTTGGTTCATCACTACACACCCAGAATTCAGCAAGGTCTGATGAAATACAGTAATCATTCAACTTATTATCAACTCAAAGAAATGAGGGCCCTTTCATAATTCTTCCTTATATACAGTGACTGATGTTCTCTACCAAATTAGTCTCCTCCCCTATTCTACCCATAACTAAAGAATTCATCTGCATTTTGTCTATACTTTTAATATTTTTTGACAAAGAAATACATGACTTGATATAGTCATAGTGAAATGATTACTAGTCAAGAAAATTACAGTATCAGTTTAGTTACCATTTATCATGGGATCAGTGTACCTGAAATCTGTCTTACAAGCATATTCTGTGTTCCATCGTATTATATATAGCCATTATGTGTTTTCCTTATCCACACACAGAACTAAGCAAAAGCAAGTAAAAATATCCAACTTCTATTTTCCCAATCCTTTTTTTTAAAAAAGATTTTACTTATTTGAGAGACAAGGAGAAAAAAAAAAGCAGGGGGAGAGAAAAGGGAAAAGCAGACTCCTCCTGGAAGCCTGACTGGCTCGATCCCAGGGCCAACCCTGAGGCCCTTGGACAAAGGCACACCCTTAACTAACTGAGTGACCCAGACACCCCTATTTTCCCATTCTAACCTTAATCCTGCATTATCTTTCAAGGCCATCAGGAAGTTAAAAATATGTATAAAAATATGTATTTAACCTCAATCCTGGCATTATTTTTCAAGGCCATCAGAAAGTTAAAAATATGTAGTTTAAAATATGTATTATGAAATAATATAATTATGTGTTTTATAAATACATACATGTGTGTACATATATGCATACATGTATACAAGTCAAATGTTTGCTGCTTCAATCTGTCCAACATTTTGGCTTCAACTAATATTTGTCCCCCCCCCCCCGAAACATTTCCCTTGCTTTACCTAGATTTTCAATCTTATTTTATTCCCCATAATATACAGAGGGCCAATTTCAGTAAATCCATTTGCCTCTCCTGTTTTTTGTTTTTGTTTTCTTTTTAAGGTTTATTTTAGAGCATGAGCAAGCATGAGTGGGGGGAGGGGCAGAGAGAGGAGGAGAGAGAGAATCTCAAGCAAGCACCTCTGCTGAGGGCAGAGCCCAACACAGGCTCCATCCCAGAACCCTGAGCAGAAATCAAGAGTCTAACGCTTAACCTACTGAGTCACCCAGGTGCCCATCACCTCTTCTTATCAAGCCCAAACTATGTAGGTCAAATTGGTGCTGCTTCTCCAGTAATATCCCATCCATATCGCACAGCCCAATACTAGACCTACCTCCTCCAAACTGCTTCCTAATAAATGTGCAGTTATCAATCTTTTTGGATGTAACTTTTTTTTTTTTTTTTTTTTTTTTTTACAATAGTCATACAGAGAGAGAGAGGCAGAGACACAGGCAGAGGGAGAAGCAGGCTCCATGCACCGGGAGCCCAACGTGGGATTCCATCCCGGGTCTCCAGGATCGCGCCCTGGGCCAAAGGCAGGCACCAAACCGCTGCGCCACCCAGGGATCCCTGGATGTAACTTTTAAATTGTTTTACACTTAGCCAAACTACAGGCTTCTAGACTTTAACAATAATCTAGCATCTTATAAATTATTTCTATGAACTTGTTTGTATATTTCAATGAATATCCTTAATATGATACATGTTAGATTACTTTTAACATCTGTCAGATCAATTCCTCTGGATCTAAGGAAATTACCTGAAACATGTTATCATCTCTGCTGCTGCTGCTCTGCTTAGAGGATGACAGGGCTCTTGAAGTTTCACCAGTCTTTTGCTTCTTCACAGGTTTCTCTGGCGTAACTTGCTTTTTCCTCTTTAACTTGAAAGAAAAACAAGCATAATGGTTAAAATGTGCACACATAAGACACATCTCAGGTTCAACATTTCATTACTTTTTAAGACTTAAAAGATCAAAGGACTGCATTTATGAAGAAAGAAAACCATAAATATATACACAGGCAAGTTTCACTTGACGATATAACTATGGAGCTAAGATCTAACTGTTTTCAAAATATGTTCTCAGAAGCCAAAAAAAACCACTTCAGGCATCACAGTAATAACCAGAGAAACAATTCTTTTCTAGACCAGTATCCCACATATGATTCCTTGGAAGGGGGTAAAAAAGATAGAAATGAAGGCCTGCTGCTTTTGAATAAGCTTTTGGAAGCCGTAAGTCTACTAAAGTTAGCAACTTGTTTCTTATAAAAGATATGTATTAATTAGAAAAAAACATAACCAACTAACTCTAATCTAGGATGTTATTTACGCCCTGCCTATTTCAAAAGGGACTTAAATTGACTTTGAAAACTTAGGAATATGCTAAGCTAAGAATGCTATTTACTACTGGGCATTAGAAGTCAACAACTCAAGAACTCCCTTATCACAAAAAAAAAAAAAAAAGAAAATTTCACTGTTAGTGGACAGCAATATGCTAGATTAGCATTCAAAATCAAAACAATGTTTTAAATAAAGCAGCATTGTAAAAACTTTATATAGCCTCATTCTTAATACAACCTAACAGCCAATGAAAACCAGCAGAGTTCCAAACCTAAACAGCAGAGGGCAGTCCTGTTCCCTAATGGCAAGTAAAAACCAATGTTAGTATATTACTAAATTAGATGGAAGTAGGTAAAATATACACATGTATATAAACTGAAAAAAATGAATGTATTTAATGTGTTTATAGGATTAATAGTAATATTCTGGACAAACAGCAAAAATTAGCTCAATAAAGCAGAAAGTGATTTTTCTTTACATCAGGGCCTGTATATTCTCTATGGACTGGCACATAAGAGCTCAGTAAAAATTTATTAAATGAATATTCAAAAGCCATACTTAGTGCAAATATAAAAAAAACTAGTAAGATATTTTTTTTCTGGAGTATAGCTATGTATGCTCTTTGAGGTCTTATTCCAACCTTTAGGTTAATATTCTGTATTTCCCTAAAGGTCCATCTTCTCCAAGAGTTTCCCATAAGCTCACTTAAAACTGCCAAATGAACTTGAGACATCATTATGCAAGCTCCTAGGAAATAAAAAACAATTCCGCATTGAAGGAAGCTCTGACTACAGTGTGAGTTGCTCAGTTAGGCGGAATACAACACTTTCAGCAGAGTTGTCATCTCATGTTAAAAAAGCCCGCTGTCAAAATGAGTAATTTCATGTTAGCTTTGCTGGGTCTTGATGTAACTAAAAGGAGAGGACCAGAGTAAATAATAATCTAACCTAAAATGTAAGCATGGTACATTTTAAGTAATCCTAGTGGGCTGGATAAAGATCAGTGGCTGAGAAGGCAGTCAAAATGGACTTCTGCAGGTACAACACGATACCTAGAGATTAGGCAAATTTCTGAATAAAGGCAGAGGCTCTGGCCTAATTCTAATGCTACTCCCCTTAGGGAATAAGGTGGTGATTCTATAGCTTTAGGGTTCCTAGAAGTCCTCGATGTGACACTCCTTTAAGTCTAAAGATTTGCTCAAGTCAGGCGTAGGGGCCAGGAGCCTGCTCATCCAAGTACCCTAGGCACCTTGATCAAGTGGTCCAGGAGCCATGTGCACTTTCAGAAACCCCCATCTAGGCTCTCCCATTACCATTACCATACGCCTTACTGTCCTTCAGACCTGAATGCGAGAAATACTGCTGAATGAAGTATCAGAGAAATGACTTGCATTAATAGTCACCTTTTTGTCAACCTCACTGTCAGAATCGCTGCCAGAAGAGCTTGAAGAAACAAGTTCCTTTGATTTAGGCATTCTGAAAGAAAAATACATTATACACAATAATTTACAAATTGTTCTATTACCTTCGACTTAACTCCTTCCGAAGCATAAATTCAGGAAGTTCCATGGTTCTACCATTTTGTGGTACTGGAGTTGTTATGCTAAGCACAATGCTAAAACTCTTAGTCTATACTCTTCCAATTGAAAAGAACACCCAGAACTAGCCAGGAGAATCCCGCAAAGAGAAAGAATTCAATGTCATACACATCTCACACTCCTACACCCCTTTCTCAAACCCCATTGGGTCTTTTTATACTTTATTTTAGAAGAATTAGAGATTTATGAGTAAGATAAATTACAAGGCAGCTGACAGCAATCTCTGTTAAAACCAGGAATAGGAAAATTCTCAGCACTGCTTTCTATTTCTCACTGATGAGACCTAACAGCATTATTCATTGCATGAACTGACCTCAACATTCAGAGAACACAGGAACAGCTGCACTGTACAGATGTAATTCATTTGCCCGTATAATCCTATTTTTTCATATTTTGTTTAAGTTCTTAATTTTCCTTGGCTTTTCGACCATGCCATCAAAATAAGCACTAATTCAGAGTTCACACGGCTGTACATAATTTTTTACAGTTCATTACATTTCACACTGATGTTCCACTCTGAAATATAACTAAATTTTGAAGAATCTGCTTAGGGGAGGGGCAAAATCTTTTTTCAAATTCATACTGTGACCCTAGCTCCCCCAGAGGTACATAGTACATAACCCAGTATCCTGCTTTCCAGTAGACTTTTACTGGGTGCCTGAGCACAGCAGGACAGAGTCCTGTGCATATCTACGTTTGCAGACTTTAAAAAAAAAAAAAAAGCTAAAGCCCAAATTTCAGAGCATTCCAAGACACTCTTTTCAAGGCACTTTATAATACCAGGTGAGTCTGAATTATCAAAGTATCTTAGGCTGTCTCCATCTCCAAAAAGACTGAGTCCTATTAGTTTTTGTACTCCCTAAAGGGCCCCATATATGCAGCACACAGTCTGTAAATGTTGAATAAAAGGGGAAAAAAAAGAAAAAAAACTTCATTTTCTCCTCAAAGAATACTAAGGAATCCAGCTCTCCAGATTAAACTAGCCTTGGCACCAACGCTAAATGTGTTCCACAAGAGGAGGTCAAGGTAAAAGAAGTGGGCCATCCATCCCGATCCTAGCCACTAATTTCAAAAAGCTCAAACATGCTCAACCAGCCATGCTGATTTTAACTGGTAATTTCTTGATGAGAACAGTAAATTCGGGGGGGGGGGGGGTGAACCAGCAGCGTTCAGAACCACATTTTATATCCTATGGCTGCTACTGCTCCATTTTACAACCGGAACTCCAAAAGCAATTCAGGTTTCTCTACGCTAGTAGCTAATAACGTCAACAATCATTTTTTTAAAAGGTAATTAAATTAGACATAACCTTTATTTTTTCACTTTGAAACAGTCAAGCATAACTATACGGTCTATTAATAAAAGCTGCGGGCGAGGCGGGGGGGGGGGAGGGAGGGGGGGAGGGCAGCCTAAGATCATTTCAAAGAACGACCTCGTAATTAACCCAAATTAGAAGGCCATTCAACAAAAACCAAAACCAAAACAAAACATTAAAAAAAAGGAGGAGGAGGAGGAGGTAATGCTAACTGAAGCCACTCTGAACTCTGGACAAGATACATTTCCACGTTTACTGCATGAATCTTCACCCTTCAAAAGAAAGAGGAGGAAGGCCAGTAATTCAGGCAGGTGATACTACAATGCTAAAGCGTAGAATAATATACAAAAACGCCACGGGGTGGGGGGGGGGTAGGATCTTCGGTCTTTGAGGAATGGCGTGGAGGGAGGATTGGAAAAGCCGAGGTGAGAATCAACCGGGACTGACTGGGGCCAGGCGAGCGTGCGGGGCCCCACGGCCGCGAGGGGGGCGCGCGCGAGGACGCCGCCGGAACGCCGGGCCGCGGCGGCTGAGGAGGGGGAGGCAGGCCGGTCGCAGGGGGCGTGGGAGGCGGCCAAGTGCGGAGGAGACCGTGTGGAAGGGGAGGGACTTGCACCAAGCGCCATTTTCTCCTCTCGAAGCGTGAGCTCCCCCGCGCGCCGGCCGCCCTCCCCCCGCCCCCTCAGCCCCGCTCCGACGGGGCCGCCCTCGCCCTCCCCCAGCCGCCCCCCCCCACCCTGGGCGCCGGCCCGGGAGCCCCAGCCAGGCCTCGGGGGGGGGGGGCCCGGCGTCCGCGCCGCCGCTGCATTGTCCCGGGGGTCGTCCCGGCCCCGTCCTCGCGGCTCCCCGCCCCCGCCCGGCCGCGCCCCGCCGCCCGCGGCCGCCGCGCCAGAGCCAAGCCCGGAGCCAGCGTGTGGCGCCGAGGGGCCTGCAGCGCCCGGGCGCGGGTCGCCGACGGAGGCGGGCGAGGCCCGGCGGCGCCGCCGTTCGCGCGGCCGCGGCCTGCGGGCGGGGGAGAGGCCGCGGGCGGCTCGCGGCCCGAGGCGGGGGCGGGGGCCGGGGTGGCCAGGCGGGGTTGGAGGGGTGGGGGCGGGGAGCCACACTCACGCTCCACTCTCGCGGCCGAACTGCCTTCTGCTCGCTCGCTTGCAACTGACAGAGAAACGGAAGTGACGGAAGCCCGGAGACGCCGGCCCCGCCCCTTTGGGGCTGCGCACACGTGACGGGGCGTGGCCTCGCCGCCGAAACCAACACCGAAACCCTTTCCAGGGCCTTAAAGGGACCGGCCCTCGCCCTGAGCCGGTCCCTTGAAAGTGAGGTGCTCTGCCGATGGAGTCTCACCCGTGAGTGGATGAGGGCGCGAATGAAACAGGAAGGAGCAACACTGAGCTTTGCACGTGTTCCACAAATATTTCTTTTTTTTTTTAAGATTTTATTTATTTATGAGAGACACGGAGAGAGAGGCAGAGACACAGGCAGAGGGAGAGGGAGAAGCAGGCTCCCTGCAGGGAGCCCGATGCAGGACTCGATTCCAGGACCCCGGGATCACGCCCTGGGCCGAAGGCAGGCGCTAAACCTCTGAGCCACCCGGGGCCGCCCAAATGTTTCTTGTACTAAAGTGAAATGTCCATACTGAAAAAGCCCATTTTATGGCCCTTACCCCCATCCCCAGTATTTAACTCTGGTTTGTAAAATCCGAAGGAAGTAAGCCAAAGTCACACATTTAATTCCAGAAAGTATAAGAAATCTTGACAGAAGTCCTTGGCCACACACACCCTTATGTTTAAACTGATTCCTAGAGGTAGTTCGCAGAAGACAAGAGAAATCTATAGTACAAGCAAGAACACGGCCAAGAGATAATTCCTATTTGAGTGTATGTTTAATGAATGCCTACTCTAGCCAAGAATATATATAAAGCTTTATTTATCCAACACACATTTATCAAGCACCCACTATGTGCCAGGCACTGCATGAGGCACTTTGCATACATTACTCATCTTAACAAGCACTTTCCAAAGTAGGAATAATTAATTACTCTATTTCCTAATGAAGAAAAACCAAGGTTCAACAAGGCTGAATAAGCAGCTGGAGGTTATACAGGGAGTGAGTCACGATTCAAACGCCCCGCTGCCTGACTCACACTACTGCAGACGGAGGGAGAATGCAAAAGTTCTTATCCCTTCCCCGTTCATGCAGCGTCAGGCTAGATAACCACTTTCAAAAAATGAAACGCTTACTGTATAATTCCTTTTATATGATGTTCCCCAAAAAAGGCAAAAATAATCTATGGGGATCTAGGTCAGGTTACCCTCAGGGGATATCACTTCAAGCATGAAGGAATCTGCTAGGATGCTGAATACGTCTTGGTCTGGGTGACAGTTACACAGGTGTACACAGATGTAAGATTTCACTTAATATTTGTACATTTCACAATACACAAGATACACTTCAATGAGAAAGTTGAAAAGGTAAAAAGTACTTAATTTGTAAAAAAAAAAAAAAAAAAAAGAACATACTTAACAGCCACTGTTCCAGCATGGTTGCTTGCTAGCCTAGAGCTTGCATACCCAAAGGAAGTTTGGGGAGCTCCCTCATCAACACTATGGCCCGCTGACCAGAGTTCCCCTGAGGCCAACAGTGCCCTAGGGCATTGTGGGGGGCATTGTGGTTGTACTGAACTCAATACTGGGGTAACTAGAGGATCACTGGGCTTCCCAGGCCCTGAAAGCCATGAATGTGGCTCTCCCTGGAAACCTGGGGCTGGCTGAGAAGGGACAGGGTGCAGAGCTCTGGTTGTAGCCTTCTGCCACCCAACCTCTCCTCCTTCTTCTTCACAATAGAGTTACAACTCTCTTTGCTCAAATGCAAGAAACGGTCCAAAGGTCCTTCTCCAGTTTATGCACTCATTCAATAAACATGTGTTTAGCACCTACTATATGTTAGCACTATTCTAAGTGCTGGGAATGCAGGAATAAACAAGATTGATAGGGCTGCTGTAAACACATGAAACAACACATGAACTGCTGTAAACACATGAACAAATATTTTTCATATATGTGCTATGAAAAAAAAAAAACAGGATGATGCCATACAGACTGTTGGGTGAGGTTAATTTAGATATGATTCAGGATGAAATGCAACTACTTGGGCATGGACCTGAATGAAAAGGGACAGCATGACTAAAAATGTTGGTGCTGGAGGTTTCTTTCTTTCTTTCTTTCTTTCTTTCTTTCTTTCTTTCTTTCTTTCTTTTTTTTTTTTTAGATTGATTGATTGATTTGGGAGAGCGAGATGTTGCACATGTGCAAGCAGGAGGAGCCCAGGAGCTGGAGGGGCAAAGGTTAGAGAGAATCTCAAGCAGTCTCTGTGCTGAGCACAGAGCCAGATACGGGGCTCCATCTCACCACCTTGAGATCATGACCTGAGTCCAGATCAAAAGTCGGCCACTTAACCAACTTTGCCACCCAGGCTCCCCAGTACTGAGAGTTTCAAAGAAACCAAAGGCCCTAAGGCCCGGACAAGTGAAGATCAAAAAATTCACTTGATGTAGAAGCCCATCAGAGACCATGGGCTACAATAGATATGGCCCATATGACAGCTACCCAGGCTCAGTGCTAGGGATGCCCAAGTCCTAGGAAATGCTGGCTCTGCAGAGCTGCAGGGCCCCAGTTCTGACTTTTCTCCAGGATCCAAGACAGCACCTCTGCCTTTTCCTTACTCATGATTACTAATCAATGCCAAGGAATCCCACAGCTTCCCTCCAGAGGTGTCTGTGCCCAGAGAAATGGATCTGTGCTAGCCAAGCTGTTGTGTTTTGAGATATCGATGTACATGAAGTAGCACAAGGCTCTGTATAATTGTCAAATGACAGCTACTGCCACAAATACTATAAAATTCCACAGATAGCTGGGCCTCCAGATTGGAATAAACTGGAAACACTTTGAAGAGAAAGACAGTCTTAAGCTTGACCTGGGGGGATGAGAGAGAACATGTGGAGTGAGAAAAGAGGAACACTCTGCAAGGTGTAACCACAAAATGACTAATGCACATTGAGAAATTACGAGTATCAATCAATTGGAGTAGAGTCAGCACAGAGGAAGAGTAAGAAATTCTTCGGAAAAGTAGGATGAAGCCAAATGGGAAAAGGCCCTAAATGAAGTCCAAGGAGTTTGGATTATCCCTTATGAAAAAAACAGTGAAGTGTGGAAGATTTTTGAGCCAGGGCAGTTAAAATGATTGGGAATGTCTGGAATGATATGAACATAGGGCTGAAGAATGAAAAAAAAGAGCTAGAGGCTAGAAACACTGTCAAGGAGGTTTCTCTGATTCCTAAAATAAGAAGTGATACATTTCTAGAATATCAAAGTGACTGTCTATGGGCTCGGCCCCTGCTGAGCTCTCTGTGCACATGTCTGAGTCCAACAAGACCACCAGGAGTAATAAGGAGAAGAAAGAGCTGTTCTAAACTTAAACCCACTGGGTCCAAGTGACTTTGCTTTAAACCCATTTGCCTGCATTAAATACAGAGGAAACAGAGTAGACCTTCCTTCTTTATGATTATGGTACCACTGTGAAATTGTGCGGCCTCAAGGTGACTACCAAAAAATAAACTCCGAGGGCCTCAGTGTATAAGAGAGGACACGGTACCCAGAACAGAGCAGAGGCCACGACCCCAGCAGAGCAACACTTGGTAAAAAATAGTACTCAGCCCTGAGTCACCGGGCCCTGAGTCAACCTCACTCCCTATAAGTAGAACAGAGATGTGCATTCTCAGGGTCACCCTAGCAGGAAACATGGTTCAGAATCTCAAAACATGAAAAAGAACAGCAGGTAGAAGAATGGCAAAGGAGTTGGCAAAGTAGCTGCAGAATCCTAGAGAAGCTCAAAATCCTAGGCCTGAGATGCCATGGAAGGGTTGAGGGGGCAGGGAATGGTTGGGACTATATATGTGGAGCAAGGAGATCAGTGGTTCCCATCTACCCCATCACACAGAAGAAGGGAGCTGTATCTTCTCTGGAGAAGCTGGAGGGAGCATGTATGGCCTGTGTGAAGGGTTTGAGGAACAAGCTGAATCCAAAAGCTGCATCTAAGTCTGAACACTCCAGTGAAACATCTGTCTCCAGACCCTTTCCCTTCTAGGATTATTTGACTTTTAAAAGATTAAATGTAGACAAAAAATACAAGTTAATTCCTTAAAAATATATATTTTGTGGGGCGCCTGGGTGGTTCAGTAGGCTAAGCATCTGACTCTTGATTTTGCCTCAGATCATGATCTTGGGGTCGTGAGATCAAGGCCCATGACAGGCTATCCACTGACCCAGAGTCTGCTTAAGATTCTCTCTACCCTCTTAGGGTCTTCACTGAGTCTGAGAATTTAACTGACATAAGATAAAGAGGAGAAAAGCATACAAAAAAAATTTAATGCAAGTTTCGCCTGGCACTGCGGCCCACAGAAGGAAATGAACACTCAAAGTAGTCGCAAAATCTACAAGCCTTTATATTAGGTTGAAGTAGAGGCAATTGTGGAAAAGTAACTCAGTTATGTGGGGAGGCTAAAGAAAGATAAGAATTTGAACAGGGCCTATTTGTACAGAATCCTCTCAGTCTCAACATCCTGTCTTGATAAGAACGTTACTTTCCTTCTGGTTTGGGAAAGACATCTTCCATATGGGGGTTTTATCTTCAGCATTTAGTTAGAAAAGGGGGGATAGTCAGTGTCATTCTTGTACCTGATGGGTTTTGTTTTGTTTTTTTAAGTACATTTAGCTCAAAATAGTTTTGATATCAATTTCGAGGCATATTCTGGAATGGCATATTTGGTCTCCTTCAAAATCTTGCTTACTATTCTAGGTAAATCCAGCACCAATACATATAAATACAGCGTCCTCGGTGTCTCCATTCCCTCCCCCTTTAACAAAAGTTTTCATTCAGTTTCTGTGTCACTGAGCGAACTGGGCGATATGCCTGCAGCCGGTTTGGATTTCGATTCTCTGAGCTCTGGGAGGAGGAGAACTGTTAAGGAAGTATGAATTTTTAGAAGCAGGGAAATGTGAGGCTTTGCATGCAAATGTACTTGGCTGTTTTCTTGGGTTTTGAAACTTGGTGAAACTGTTAGCAAATCCTTGAAAATAAGTGACTTCCACTTTTTAAAAAAATATGCATATAATTCAAAACAGTAATAAA